GTTTTAAAATAAGAAAAAGTATCAAATATAAGTCTGATAAAAATTCTTTCATTCGAAAAACAAGGAATACTTCATACTTTGAAAATTCCAAAAGTAATTATTTTAATTTAGTTTACATTGTAAATGTTTTGATGTTTTGTAACTAAATTGTAAAAATGTTGATATTTTATTGAATTTTAATATATGTAACAAACAATCAAATATTATGATATTAGTTGTGCAACCACACTGATGGGCTAGTGTTCTCACTTTATAACTTTTTGTAAAAATTACATGTATATGAGATATATTTACAAAAAAATAACCATCGTTTTATTTTTTTGTTTAACATTACACAAAATAATCCAAATGTATATAAATAAATACGCTACCTCTAACACAGTTATAAAGAAATACCCTTTTTGAACAATACTCTAAATAAGTATTAAAAATATGTTATAACTAATTTGTATGATCAAACAGTGTTAGACGTAATATATATAATTAATAAAAATTAAAACGTTGAAACTTTTTAAATTTTAAAAATGTTACATCAAACCAGAATTGAAAAATATAATAATAAAACTTAATACTGTTTTATTTAGAATAGATTTTTGTATTAGGATTTAAGTTTATATTTATATGTATTCGTGTCATTTTTTATATTTATAGTGTTGGAAAAGTTAATCATTTTTTACTTTGTATAATAATTTTGGTATTTTTCGAATAAAAATGAGAGTATTCCTTCACTGATGTTTTAATAATTATTACTTAACACTTAAAAAAACACTTCCTGTTAAATGTGTATTCAAATACTCATTTAATTTTTCGGGAATTGACCACTTATTTTTTAATATTATAAATATGAAAAAACAAACTATATTATTAAATCATCAAAATAATCAATTATTTATCAAGTGTAGAAAAAATAAACATAAAAACAAAGCTTTTATGTGTTAAAATGATTTGTCGTTGATTCACAACGTCTGTTTAAACCGTTGTTGTTTTATTTTATTTTCGAAATCATTAAACAGACTTGTTAACACTACTTATTAAACTTATCTTGTTTTAACAAAATCAGTCAATTACATTGCAATTTGTAGTAAGAACAGTCAATGAAAAATATTAAATTTTAGAAAATGTAAACTTGAGTTACAAATTAGTTTTCCACCCATATGTGGATTGCATGTAATGGTGCTGTTGAGTATTTATAACACGTACTTTGTTGAAATTTTTCATTTGTTTAATAATTAAAAAGTATCTATTAGTTTTTAAACTAAAAATCAAACTATTAAAAAATAAACTGATTAAAAAATAAAAAAAAGATGGTCAATGAGAAAGTGCGTTGTCGTTTCGCTTGGAAGTATTTTTGCCTTTAGTGGATTCGTTGAACGATGATGTGAAAACACACTATGTTGCGATGTATTTCTGAGGGTCGCGGTAAAATTGGACGACGGTTTCATCGCACAAATTACAGCAGAAGTCGATTCAAAAATTCGAAGAGAAAAAAGGATGAACCAAACACAAATTATGTATAACTCCTTATTGTAGTTTTGTGTGTGTTCGCAAAAAATAGCGTTCTTTGTGAGAGATTTCTTTTACGTTATCATGACAAAGTTTGCATTCCTTTTATACGACTATAGATAAGAAAAAATTAGCCGATGGTGTCCATGCGTCAGAAATTGAAGAAAACAACGACGAGTTAACGTCGATTTTTAAAGCGACTGTTCTCCGGTTTGTTTATAATGAGACATTGTTTATATGTGATACTTTTTGACGATAGCGATGTTTTTTTCGATATTATAACTCCAATTGTGAATTGCAAAGAAATTATACTTATTATCAGATAGCAAAATACAATTATGTTACTTGAATATTTGTTTGTTTATCGGGTTTTTTCGTGTGTATTACAATACACATTTTCCCTCTTTTTTGAATGAGTGAAATTATATTTTAAAACGTAATTTTTTTAAAACATTTTAAAGCAAAA